CCAAATTTAACTTTGCGGATAAATAAACTTACAACCTCACTTCCTAGTGATTTGGTGAAGATGTTGGGTCACTCCCTTGACGCCGTAATGCCTCCAAACCGTAGATCGAGTCCAAACCCTAAAATGAAGATTTTGGAGACAAAGAGACAAACACATACAAGTAATCTCAAACAATCACAACAACAACAAGCACGCGGGACACAAGTATTTATCCCGAGGTTCGGCAACCCCACAAAGAAGCTCCTACGTCCTCGTTGTTGAGGTGACCACTAAGGTCGGAGTCTTTTCCACCTCCTTGCCTCTCTCAAAGCGACCACAAAGGTCACTTGAGCTTTCCACTAAGAAATCAAAGGGTGATACAAACTTCCCAAGGCTCTTCCACAAGATGGAAGCTCTAGGGCAACGCCTAGCCGGCTAGGGGCAAAGCCCCAAGAGTAATAGACGCAAAATCAACCAGCTTGACGAAGAAATCAAGTGCTCAAGCTTTCCAAAGTGATGCTCTCACTTAATCCACTCTCCTTTCACTCAAAACCCAAGGGAATCGAAGATTAGAGCAAGGGAGGAAGGAGAAGGGTGCTTGTGTTGCTTGGGAGCTGTTCAGTACGAAGTGAGTCAACTGTGAAAATGAGTCCGTAACGGTTAGAAATGAAGAGAGGAGTATTTATACTCCAAGTGAAAATCCAACCGTTCAGATCTACGTCGGAAGTCCCGACGCAGATCCCGGAAGTTCCGACTACAACAGAAAACACTGTTCACAACGAGTCAGAAGTCCACGGGTGAAAGTCAGTGTCGGAACTCCCGGCAAACGTCGGGACTTCCGACGGTCGGAACTCCCGACGATCGTCGGGACTTCCGACGAGCACAGTTAATCAAACAGCCAGCACTGCTGAGGCCGGGACTCCCGGCTTGGGTCAGGTCAGTGTCGGAACTCCCGGCGAACGTCGGGACTTCCGATGGTCGGAACTCCCGGCGAACGTCGGGACTTCCGACGTGCACAGACAGCGAGCAGTCAGAAGCACAGGTGCCGGGACTCCTGGCAAAGGTCAGGACTTCCGACTGTCGGGAGTTCTGACTTACGTCGGGACTTCCGACACCGAAAGTCACAGAAAAATATTCTATGTGCTCGTGAAGTGCTAGAGTGACACACGTTTGATTTTATTTAAATGCTTGAGCACTCTATCTTCCTCAGACCAACTAAACTTGCATCCCTCTTTATAGTGCGACGGATCCTAAACTCAAAGACAAAATTAAAACCTTTGGAGATCGTTTTGAATTCGTCCGCCTTTACAACTTCAAGAATTGAGGGATACCATTTCATCTTTATCAACTCTTTGAATCTTTCATGGGACTAATAGCTGCAACATATCTCATTAAGATCACATTAGTCCCTAATTTGGATGTCATCAATACACCAAAACCCACATAGGGGGCAAATGCACTTTCATCAGGGCCTGGAACCGATTGGCATACTCCTCCACGGCGCCGGAGCGGCGGCACTGCGCCAACTCGAACATGGGGGCCGAGCGCAGGGGGGGACCGAAGCGCAGGTCCAGGAGATCCTTGAAATGCCCCCAGGACGGCGTGCCCTCGTCCTCCTGCAGCTGGATGAACCACAGCTGTGCAGCGTCGTCCAAGTGGTAGGCCGCCATGCGCACGCGCTCCTCCGGCATGGTGCGATGTTGCCGGAAGTACGCCTCGCACTTGTGGAGGAACGGCATGGGGTCGGACGTGCCATCATAGTGGGGAAAATCCCACTTCTTGTGCTTCGGATGGAACTCGAGATCGCGCTGATTGTCGGCGCGACGGGTGTCAGAGCTCTCAGCCGTGGGCGCCTTCTCCTTGAGTGAGGCGACATCGGCCTCCAGGGTGGAGATCTTGGCGGACACCTTCTTCATCTCGTTGAAGAGATCGGTCAGGGTAGGCTCGGCCATGGGCGGCGACTGACTGGGCGCGGTGGGTGGTTTGTGGGTGGGCGGCGGCTGGTTGCGGGAGGGTGCTGGCGCGGCGGACTGAGAACGCGAAGAGGATGAGCGGTGACTCGCTGATACCAGGTATCAAAGGCGTCGAACCCTCGACGCCAGCCTTGAGCCTCGAGCTGCAGAGCTGAGCTCGTAGCCTTCGGCCGTCTTCTCCGGTGAGGTTATGCCCCTCACCATGAGCTTGAGATTAGATGGAAGATAGGATAACAATCTTGCTTAATTTCTTCAAGTCCGGTTACCATAACATATATAGCCTTGCGGCTGCCAACAAAAGGAAAACAAACTCCTAATCTTAAGGTAACAAATAGATGCTAATAATAAGGGAACTAATCCCGATAACTTTCCAACCGAGGCCTCCTAGCCACGACCTGCTGATCTGCCTCAAGAGCGCGTTCAGCGCTTTGGGGCTGCCTTCGGCCGCCCCCTACATGTCGTGGCGTCAGCGCTTCTCGCCAGGCGACCCGCCCACACATGACAGCAATTCTGAGCATTCTGCACTTTCCCTCCCAATGTATTGCACATTAATGGATAAACATCTAATTGAGCTTTACTAACTAGATCACTGGGTACTGTTGAGAACTGAAAGTTAGATGTCCAGACCCAACATATACTAGTGATAGAAATAGAATACCAACGCTAGAAATGCAGCTTTCCAACACGTCCAACAATATTCTGTAAAAGGATTTCATGTTCCTAAGTTATATTGTGGTAATGCTTGTTTACAAGTTGAGATTTTAATATCCATATAATTTTGATATAGCAGGAGAGTGTTTGGATAGGATGGGGACTCAAGTGCTCATATTTTGTATTTTCATGCTATCAGCTTTAAACCTTTTGATCAAATATCCAAGAGTGACAGAAATGATACCTGCACTTCTGCGGGCCTTGTAATAATTGTTCCTTGCATGTTTAAAATGAGGGTAAGTAGGGATAGCATTTAGTTGGGAAAATCTTCAGCAGATTTTGTACCAAGCCTGCATCATTATATAAAAGATAATGGCAATTATTATTTTTTGTTTCTATTATATCATTTTATTTTTTCCCAAAGTGTAATGGTAGTAATCAGTTATACCATTTATTGTACTAGCGTTTATGGTAATCATGTGGGCCACCAATTTGAGCGTGCATGGCCGTGCGCTGCAGAAAAATAAATTCTAACAGGGAAATTTTGATTTTGAATATTCATATGATCTTCTGTATATGGAGGGATATTTAGAGGATGTGGGATTCGAGTGCTCAAATTTTCTGTTATCACGTCACCTCACATTTACACTTTCTGATGGAAGTTCTCTTGAATTTATCAACCTGGCTTATCAGCCATGGAGTAGTGTTTTTTTCTCACAACAAATCAGTCAGCCAAACAACATAAAGTTGAGGAAATCTCTATTCCTGTAATTTAGGAAACATACAAAGAGTCTTTTGATTATGCTCGTACACATGTAAATGATTACTACGTGTCCAAACAGCCCCAATCTTTGACGATTATATTTTGGCAGAAGTTCACTCGCCCGTAATTCCTATCTCATACTAGAATTTTTTTTAGGGGAAATCTCATACTAGATGAACATGAGAAACGAGATTTTTTTTGAGCAAAATGAGAAACGAGATTTTTTTTTTGAGCAAAATGAGAAACGAGATTTGAGCGAGCAACAAAAACAGTCGGGCCAGCCCCCATCAGCGATCCGCCACAGAGCCGAGCGAGCCCGGTCCGCTATCCAGTCCAGACCAGTCGCTGCTTCGTGGGCCACCCACTCTGGGAGATTGCCCAGTCCACACACACGGAACAAAAAAGAGGCTTTTAAACGTGTGCTATTAAAAAAATTTATAATTACACACAGCTCATTAAAAAAATTGACCGCACACAGATGCCACCGTTCTGAACTTCTTTGTTCTCCGAACCATTCATGCTCGCTTTTCTATTTAACGGTGTCAAGCAGACGGGTGAAATGACCATTTTACCCTACGGTGGAATCCGTTAAATCACCACCAAACTTTCTCTTTCTCTCTTTTCTCTTGCGCCTCCGTTCCACGCTCCCGTGCTCCCGCTTCGTCGTCACAGCGCTGCTGGGCGCGCGGCGAATCGCCTCCTCCCATCGCAGTCTTGCTTGCTTCTTCCCACCCGCGGTGGTGGAGCTCGTCGTCATGCTCAAGCGGCCGTGTGCGCGTGCCCGCCTGTTGTGGCTGCCTTCTGCTGCTTCGGGCGAGCGAGTGTAGCGCGCGCCTCCTGCCGGCAGCCATGAAAGAAGAAGAGATGGCGGGGGCTGCGGCGGCCGCACGAGTGGCTCAAGAACCTCCAGTTCGTGCTCCTCTCGGCAGCGTCCTTCCTGCGGTAGCCGAGGGCGGTGCTCCCCCACGCACACCACACACCAACACGAGCCCGGCAATGACGGCGAGGGCCCTAGCGTCAGGTGAGGCGGCCTGCCTCCAACCCAGCGGCGGGCGAGAGCGAGGAGGTGGCGTGCGTGGGCTGCCATGCACCGGTCCTCGCCAGGATCTCGACGCAGCGCGCGGAGGAGGTGTGAGGAGGTGAGCTCCGGCCGCCGTGGCCAAGGCGGGCGCTTGGTATGAGGACTCCGCCCGGCCACCAGGCGTCTGTGGCGAGCTCTGCCCTGGCGGCCGCCAGCTGGCATGAAACAAGCTCCGCCGGGCGCATATAAAGCTCACTTGGGCGCATATACGAGAAGAGAGATCGAGTTTGAGAGAGAGAGATAGGGATGAGAGGAGTATTATGGACGTTTTGGTGACTGACCCACTTGTTAGGACTCCCAAACGGTGAAAAAGCGAACGGAATGCAGATGGAATGGCTTGGAGAGCAAAGAAGTTCAGAACGGTAACATCTATGTGCGGTCAACTTTTTTAATAATCTATGTATAATTATAAACTTTTTTTAATGGCGCGCATGCAAAAGCCTCAACAAAAAGGGTGGTGTCTCGTCCAGTCGTCCTCCTCAACAGCGGCCGACGACCTACCCCTCCGCCGCGGCAACCAGCGATGTTGCGCCTCCGAAATCGCCTCCTCCCTATGCTCCGCGCCGCCTCCCCGCTCCCTCCCCATCCACATCCACTCCCGCGTGTTCCGCCTCCTCTCCACCTCCACGCCCACCGTCCCCGCACCCTTCTCCCTCGAGGACTACCTCGTCGCCTCCTGCGGCCTCGCACCCGCCCAAGCCGCCTCATCTCCGCCTCCAACCCCGATGCCATCCTCACCTTGCTCGCCGGCACCGGCCTCTCCCGTGCCGACATCGCCGCCGTCGTCTCCGCGGACCCGCTGCTCCTCCGCGCTTCGGTGAATAACATCGCCCCCCTTCTTGCTCTCCGCGACCGTGTCGGTCTTTCTACTCCCCAAATCGTTCGCTTCCTCCTGGTCGCCTCGCGCGCTCTCCGCAAGGGCGACGTCATTCCCAGGCTCGAGTTCTTCATCTCCTTCTACGGCTCGTTTGAGAAGGTCCTGGTGGCCGCAAAGAGGAATGGGGTCCTCCTCATCGCGAGCCTTGATAGGTTAATCAAGCCCAACATAGCTTTGTTTCGTCAGTGGGGTGTTCGAGATATTGCCCAGCTGTGTTCAAATGTCCCGCGGGTGCTTACCTACAACCCGGAACGCGTGAAAGAGTTTCTGCCACGGGCGGAACAACTTGGGGTGCCTCCCACTTCGGGGATGTTCGGGCATGCAGTGGCCGTCGTTTCCTGTATGTCCGAAGAGAAGGTTGCTGCCAAGCTTGAGTTCTTTAAGATGACTCTTGGTTGTTCTGAGTTTGAGGTTTCCACTGCAGTGTCCAAGGCGCCATCTATAATAGGAATATATGACAAGATTCTTGATCGCAAGATTGAGTTCCTAATCAATGAGGCTATGATGGAACCACGGTACATTGTGGAAAGGCCTGTCCTGCTCTCATACAGCCTGAAGAAGCGGCTTGTGCCCCGGCATTATGTCTTGAAGGTCCTGCAGGAAAAGGGATTGCTGAATAGCAATAAAAACTTTTTCACAATAACTAATTTAGGAGTGGAGACTTTCAAATTGAAGTTCATCGACTGTCACAAGGACTCTGTTCCTGGCCTTGCAGATGCTTATGCTGCAACTCGTGCTGGTATTGTGCCCTCTGAAGTCTAATTTTAGCATATCCTTTTGTGTTTTAGGCAGGTGGTGCAACTGTAACTCATGCTCATTAGAAGCTGTCCAGATGGTCATGATTGTTCTCTTTTGTAACTAACATTGGCTAGCGATCAGCTTGTATTTGATCTTTTCATCTCTCAGTATGTATGAAGATGCTGAGCTCTCATACTCATTAAATAGCTTGGCTGCCTAAGATTAAGGTTATTGATTTCTCGTGTATGCCTCTTCTGAAAATAAGCCCATTGAATAGGGGAGCCATTTGTTCTTAAATTGAAATCTCTTTTTTTTTGTTACCATGCTGTTTAGCATTGTGATATTAAGAAGTATGAGTTCCTCGAGAAAAATTTCTACTCTTATAGCCTGTGTATGAGTCATGGTGCTATTTACAATGCTTTTCTTCCAATATGTCATACTATGCGTTCCTCTCGAAATATTTCTACTCTTCTAGCCTGTGTATGAGCCTCGACCACAAGCAATATTCATCTCCACTTTCCAAGCATTTAGTGAAACCTTCACGCTCCAAAACTGATGGGAGAACTGCTTACTGAGTGCAAGTGCAAACAAGGCATGTCACCTGTAAGCATGCTGAAGGCTGGAAGATCAGAGATTCAGAATCACGTAGCTTAACCCAAATGCGGAAGTCTTCACAATTGCTATGCCTTTGGGTATTTAAAGTGAGGCTCAGGAGAAACAGCATAGAGTTGAGGAAATCTGCCATCATATGGTCATTATCTTGTTTCTTAATTATCTATTCCATTATTTCGTTATTGCCAAACCAATGGTGGCAATCAGTTATTTTATTTCTCAAGTGTGCACCACTGTACATGATTCGTTTCCCCTCCCAATCTGTTCCACATTAATGGAAAAACGTCTTACTGAACTTTAGTAAGTAGAAATGCAGGGTGTAGCAAGTCTAAAAATACTCTGTACAAGGATTTTATGTTCCTCATTTCGGTCATTTTCTAAAGACTGCTCCTCATTTATGTCGTCATAGAGAAATTGCTAACTAGCTAGTTTATCTTAATATCCATGTGTTTTTGTATATCAGAAGAGGTATTTTAGATAAGATGGAGAAGTTGAGTGCTCAGATTTTGTGTTATCATGCCTTTTTCACCTTTGCGCCTTCTGACGAAAGGTGTACGATAGAATACCAGAAATGGTGCCTGCACTTCAACAGTCCTTGCAATTTTCATGCCTCGCATGTTTCAAACGAGGGTAGGTGCAGATAGCATTTGGTTAGGAAAAATCTGCCGCACCATATTTTGTTCCTAGTTATTAGCATTAGCAACACCATTGAGGGCAATGGTGGCTATCTTCTTTCCTTTTCTATTCCAATCATTTTCTTTTTGCCAAAGCATTATGCTGGTGATCAGTTGTTTCATTCCCTTCCCCTAAAAAAAAAGTTGTTTCATTCCCTGACTGCGCAACTACAAACATCTTGCACATTCTTACCAATGTGTCTGCGCATTATATCAAATGTAAATAAACTTCCGGAGCTTCAGTAACCAGACCACTGCTAGAAATGAGGGAATCGAAAGTAAGACGCCCAAAACAAACAAGTTTAGCCTATTAATGAGAAATACTCCTATATCCTTGTCTCATGCACCGTACTTCCAAAAAAAAGTACAGAATCGCTACCTGAATGCATAAAAATAAATTGTATAGGATATGTGATTGTTATACTGGATTATGCCTATAGATGATAATACCAAAATCCAGTTATCCATCTTAAAAAAAGAGAGAGAAAAAAGTGACTAGCACATATGCTGATATGCAGCAAATGCAGTGGTCAAATTTTAATGGTCCATGGGTTAGCTCATCTGCACCTAGTTTAGTTCGCATGCTAACAGCAGACTAAATCACATCAGAACAATCTAGAGTGCAAATCCCAATGCTATACGTTAATTCGATCGCAAGAATGGCATGCTCTAACTCATTCCCTCACACAAGACAAGACGCTCTCACTGACCCCATTTTCTAGAAGCACTCTTGCGATTGGTTGTTAGCAAGTTCAGTAGTAGCTGTAGCACGGAGGAGATCATCTGGCGAAGCCCAGTCCCAGGCGAGGCGAGCAGGGGTAGGGCCAGAGATTGACTTGGCATTCCACTGATGCCTCTCAGGGGCGCCATCCATATTGAGATCTGCAGGCCGTCGGCTGGTCCCGTCCCTGAATAAGCGTCTCCTTCAGGGCTCACGGGGGGAAGGAAAGCGAGGAGGCAACCGCCGCGAACACAGGGCCCCGCCCGGTTAGCTTGGCTCTCGCCATCGCCTCAGATACTGAAACCATCGCGGTCGCAGCAGTGCCTACTGCCTACGCACGCACGCACCATTTCGTACGCCTCCTTTTTTTCTTCTTCTTTTTCCTTGTGGTGTGGTCGGTCGTTGTCGATCGTCTCTGTAGGATGGGATGGGATGGGATGGCAAGGGAAAGCTCTCCTGTTTGCGTTTGTCTCGTGCCGCAATGGGGATGTTTCAACAGATGATGCCGAGCCCTGTTTGTTTGGTCCCGTTTCGCATTTCTATGGACGTGTGCGCGCGCCGGACGGCGGACCTGTAGGCACCTGTTCACGGCTGACCGCGCTGTTATGTTTGTGTTCACCGACGGAGAATTCGCCCGACGTGCTTTGTTTGTGATTGCGAGGGTTTTGTTTGTTTGTTTGTGGACACTTGTGTACGTGGAAAACATATGCAGTGCTCTCTCTATATGACAAAGACCGAAAGAGCTCATCCGACGAGTGTGCTATTTATGCTCCTGAAGAAGAAATAATCGCTAGTTCTTACATGTTACAAACAGGCAGCAGCTGGAGCTGTTCTTTTTTCTTTTTCTTTTTGATTTGAAAGATCAGCTGAAGCTGTTCTTGACATAGGAACTAGAGCTAGTGTTGTTGACCATCTGTCCACCCGAACGTATATATCTGAGCATGCCGACGGATCAGAAGTCCACAAACTGATTGCTGAACACCGCATGCCGACAGAAACGCGGCTGTTACTGAATTTAAGCACGTAGCTCAATATATATAGCTCATACGATGCTCATGACAAAGAAATGTTTATGACCAGTGCGGCAGTTTCCCTCCCCCTCGCGTCGAAAATAAACCAATTCAAGAAGAAGCAGGCGGCCATCGATCGGTCGGCAGATAAACAACGTGGCTTTTTGTTGTTGATGATGACGCGGTAGACCATGATGACCTAACACGGAGACGAGATTTCCCCCCTTCAGGCTGTGTCGCGAGAAGGCTGGCCTTTAGTTTTCTCGAGCGCAGCGCCTAGCGCGGAACGAAAGGCTCCCGCGCGCCCGCGCCCGCCCGCTTGTTTATTCGTGAGGGGGAGATATCAGATATGGACGGACAGCGACGCGGCACCGGGAGTTTTAAAGCCCTCCTCCCCCTCCCCGCTCCCGGTGATTATTAAGAGCGGGGGCGCGGTCGGCGGTAGGAAAGAAAGAACAGTCGAAGTAAAGCGGAGGACTTCACAGTGACTTCACCCGGCCGGCGTCCAAGCAAGCAAAGCAACCCGGCTGCTCGTCCGAAAATCCTTGGCGGGCGGCGAGCGATCGCGGCGTTGCTCCTCGCCGATTCCAGCTGCTGGGCTGATCGGCGTTCGACGGCTTGGGGCTGGGAGAGTCTGGGAGCGATCGCGGGAGACGGAGCGGCCGGCCATGGCGTGGATGCGGTCGCTCTTCTCGCCGCTCAAGAAGCTTTGGATCCGCATGCATTCCGCGCAGAACAAGAGTACGTGCCATCAGCCGTCTCCCGGCTCCTTCTGTCGTTCCTGTTCTAGTGCTCGTGCTTTGATCGCCGATCGATTGCATGCAATCCAATCCAATCCATGTTCTGATATGTTCTCTGCTGCGTGTTGTGATGAGCAGAGAGGGGCATCTACATCCTGTACGAGGACGTCAAGTCGTGCCCCTGCGAGGACGTGCAGATCCTCTGGTCCATCCTCGTCGAGTCGTCCCACCCGCCGCCGCTGCGCCTCAAGCACTGACTCCCTCCGACGACCGGGCTCCGGCCGCCGCGCCCACCCCGTCGAGCACGGCGCAGTAACGTACCGACGGCGGCTGCGGCGCGCGGCCAGAGCATCAGCAGGCGACTGATTGTTCCGACCGACACAACGAAACTGTCGGTGTATTGTACATAAAGATGACGAGTGGCGGTAGTTCACCTTCTTCAGCCGTGATACGATCGCTTCGAAGCGGGAGAAGAAAATAAGAGTGTTCTTCCATGGTCCAAGGAGATGGTGTGCGTAGGAGATGAGCTCCTTGATTCATCCTGCCCCGTCCTCAGCAGAGCAGATGCAGAGCAAGGCGTCCCTCACCGACACCGCGAAGCGAGTTTTTTTTCCTTTTCCTTTTCCTTTCTCCTTTGCTTTTGTTTTTGGAAAAGGAACGGCACGGTTGGTGATCAGGGTCAATGGGCCGCGTGTGCCTCTACCTAGCTTGTAAATACAAAAGGCAAAGAGCAACAAAAAAAGTGTATATACGGAGCACTACGCACGCGGAGCACTAGTAGCGACGAGTGATAAGAGTTTTTAAAGGGTCCGCCGCCACAAGTTGCAAGCGTCGCGTGGCTCGCGTGCGCACCGCAGCGCAGACATGGGTGGTGGTTGACCCCCGGGAGCACACGTGTGGCCCGGCTGGCGACAGAGCCGCCCGGGCAGCGCGGGCGGACGGCCGGCCGGCATGGTTAATTCGCTCGTGACGACGGACGACTGGACGAAGAGGGATCCATCATCCATCCAGTCCGGTGCCGGGTGGCTTTCGATCGCGCATCGTTCGTTTGTCATTGTCAACGTCGCTTGCTAGGTTGGTTGCCGCCACTTCGCCGTCGCGTGACGGGCGCGTCGTGCCCGCTGCGGGGAGCCCAGCCGATCGAGCCGACACGAGCAGGGGAAAGCCTCGCCTCGTTTCGGGCGTTACGTTCAGGGGCAGGCCATCACAAAGCCGGGCTCGATCGGTAGGTTGACAACCCGCAACGTTTCGGTGACGAAGCGGCACAAAAGGCGTTTTGAGTGACCGCATCGCGTTTTAGCTAGCTCTGGAATGCCAACAAGTCCACACACGCACACTAATCTTAATATAGCGTGTCAGATTAACATTATAAGTGCAGTTTTCCTCTCTCTGGTTTGGCCCCATGGTGGTGGTTGGTGGACACACAAACCACGTGTATGTACTCGTGCTCAATTGCTCACGTGCGCGCACCACCGTAGCGAGCTGAGAGTACCGACAACACACATCTGGGCCATATATGGACATCTGCTGATTCCCGAAGTGTGCACCACTCGCGTTAACGGACCAGAATGGAAGGCAAAGGGCGGACAGTAGAATTTTCAGCATAGCCTGCTTAGCAAAATGTATTACTCCTTAAGTTCCAAATTATAAGTCGTTCCAATTTTCTTTAAGAGTCAAAGCATCTCAAAATTGACCAAAATTATAGAAAGAATTATAAAGATTTAAGACATCAAGTAAGTATACTATAAAAGTATAGTTAATAAAGAATCTAATAATACTTATAATATTATTTATTATATAAATTTGGTCAAACTTGAGATGCTTTGACTCTCCTGAAAGTTAAAATGACTTATAATTTGAGACATAAGGAATATTTAATTACTATCTATAGAGATCCAAACAGGGAGGTCCAATTATTAGCAGATAAATATTAACATACTATTTAGTAAAATGTATTCGAGGTCTCAATCTTTGATAACTCCCAAAATTATTGCAAAATCTTTACAATTAAGTACAAGCATGCGTTTGATTTGATACTCACCAAGCGCTAAGGTTCATGTTTCGAAGATTTGGGTGGCTCTAGTTGTGCGCCCGTGGGAGCAACAAATTGATTGATAGGCATGATATTATCCATGCTTTAAAATAAAATAAAAGATACAAGGACAATCCTGGGCACCGAGGGGTCACCATCGACGACGGAGCGGGCCATAGAGCAGGAGCAGCGGGGCGAGCGATAGAGCAGCAGCAGGCGGGGTCACCGTCGACGTGCAGAGCAAAGCGGAGAAGGTCTCTTCCCGAGCCGGGGGTCGTGGCGACCCGCAGGCCGGGCAGGAGCCGGTTGGGACGACTCTGCCCCCGGCTGAAGTGGGGGGCGCAGGTTGCAGCCTGGGAGCGGTCCTTGTCCTGCAGGCCCGTCGACGTCGGGTCTCACCTTCAGAGTCGTGCCGCTCACCTCCCGGTACATTTTTCTCTGTTTTTTTTTCGATCTTTTGCTATTGAGTCTTTTTTGGAGTGTGACTTACCCGCACTTTTTATCAGTGGCCGGGAGATGTCGGGGTTGAGCGTCGCCCCAACTACCGTGCAGGAGACTTGGTTTTGACGTTCCGTACCTGTCCGCACCACCAGGCTGTACGATTTGCAGTCCTTGGCGTCCTCCCCACCTGGCTCACTTCCCAACCTTCCATTTTTCCCGTTCTGCCCCCGTTCTTGCGGTGGCGGTGGTGTCGGCGCTGTCCTTGCGGAGCACGTTGACGAACTCCTCCCAACAGTGAGTTCATATAAAGGTATTTGCTCTTTAGGTACTCATAGGCATTTCTTTAATTTTCTTTAATTGAGACATATAAAACACATCATGCACACCTGACAGACTCTCAGGCAGTTCCAGTATGCCATCAGGCACCCTGCTTAGAATTGCTTATATATCATAATATTACAAGTATTGGTTCATATGGCCATCTCTCCCTTTTTTCATGAAAAGCCTCAGTGTCCCAGTTATGGTCTCTGTTTCATTATTTACAGCAGATTTATTCTCGAGACAATGACACTAGATGGGAAAACTGCTTGCTTCGAAGGCATTGATAAATTACAATGTCGTAGAACTGCTGTCACAGTGACTTATACAAGAATGAAGAATCTAAACTATTCAGTGGAAAAAAGAAGACTTCGAACTAAGAGTAACATGGTTTTTTTCTGAGCCAAGCTATACGAGCAACAAATGGGCCAATTTCTGTGATCATTAGAAGCCATAGCAAATGATTCATGAGGCTATCCTTTTCGCATGTGACAACCTTTTATCAATTGTAGAAACATGTCCATTTCTACAGTTCTTGAAGTCCCTAAGAAGTACATTGGTAAGGCAACAGCTTATATAACAAGAAACAGGGAATATTTGTGAACTCTTTTATATTAGAAAAGTCTTACCATATCCATTTTTTTCTGAAGAGGAATTAGGGCAGACTCACAATCATGTCCTACCTGAATGCTGCTAGTGTCATTCTGAAGCTACCTTCAGTATTCAGTTATGGACTTCTAGTACTTGATACCAAGCAAGCAAATGCAGATCTGAAGCTCATGTTACCTTCTCTCGCAACGCATCTGGAATGAGCAAGCTAAAATGGGTCATACAGGAAAACATGATGCAAAACACGCAATGCTCCCGTAATCACATGGAGAAATGGAAACAGAAATGAGAATACTGAAGAGCATATAGAATAAGTAAAGTATAGTGAAGAGCATATACAAAATAAGGACTAAAGACGAATTGATCAATAAAAGTCACTTCAATCCATCATACATGTATGTTGCATCAAAAGAGGTTTTCACTACCATTAAAGTAAAACGAAATCAAAAGGCATGACAGGCAACAGAGCAAAGTAAAACAAACCCTTAAAATCCATTGGTTCAGGTTCATACATTCACAGACATTGAAGGAGCATATGATACAATGGAAGATTCAAAGGAAGAAAAGGATTCCAAACATCCAATACAAGTGCAATGGTACTATGAGACTTTGGAAATCACATTGTTTGTTTTTATAACTCGCTTTGGTTTGTCATAAGAGTAATTTGGTAATTAAATATATGTTTTTTTTGTTTATTTAATACATGGATTAATTAAAGTAGTTGCATGTTGCATCTTGTTTCCTCCTGATCTTGTTTCCTCCTGATTTTATATCAGTATAATATCATATTATAATACTAATTTGATTCAAAATAGTTTTATGAAAAATATAACACTTCCCAGAAAAAATGAATTAATTAATATGAAATAAATTAAAACATCAAAATACAAAGAAGAAGAACAGTAATTGAATTATGATGGTTAACAAAATACAGTAATTGCGTTTCGCAGAAGCTTATAGTTCAAGAAATTTCAAAACATGAGATGGAATGCACCAAAGTCCCCAAACTGGACATTATAGATTTAACAAGGGCAATAATGAATACAAATAAATATAAAAATACTTAAAGATATTATTAGATCAAAGAACAATAACATGCTTTTCATGCAAACAATGATTAGATTGGGAAGTGTCATACTTATTTTTTCTTGCATGAGAGTAACATAGTCCATACTGTTGTCTCTCCAGATATATGGAAGCACGCTTTGATACATATAGAGTGTTGGACAGATTCCAGCATCTTCCATCCACTGCAAAACCTACATGGACCAAACAAAGACAATAATTAGAGAAGAGATTAAGTTCGACACCTACAAACTATCGTCCATCTTTTCCCCCTGTTTCATACATATTTTGAGTCAGATACTAATCAACTCCTAGCTTAAAATGCTTGTTGTTTGCTGGAGGCAGAAGGTTGAATGAATAATTTACCATAATTCAAAATTTTCTAACAGGTCATAGCGGATGAAGGCTTCACACCAAATAACAAGACAAAAGATGTCAAATGAAAAAACAATGTATGACATTCTGATTTAAAAGAAATAATGCAGATCTGTAATACACCAACATCTTATCACAATTTAGCAAGTTGCAAATGGAATCTAGCAAATATAATTCTCTTTTTTTAAGGGGATCTTTTATGAAGGACTCATCAACTCTTATTCAAATGAGATAGTATAGCTGCCTAGCGATAGGCCCTGTGTACCTCAACATACTTTCTCCATTTCCCCACAGCTAAGAGATTTCTCAGCAGAATCGTATAAGTAGAAAGGCCCACAGTAGAGCATGAAGTCACCATCTTATAGAACAGCTGCGTGATAGAAAATCATAACAATAAGTATCATCCTTCAAAGAGTCCAAGGAGAAGCAGTAACAGGAAATGCACGACCAACAGACAAAGCACCACTACTGAAATAGTTTTTTCCACAAGTTTTATGAACAAGTCGGTGTGTTCCTCAAGCATCAAAGCATTTCACAAAAGAAACAGTGATTATTCAAAGCTAGTAAAGATGGTAATATTATTCTTCATGCACAAATCATTTATTTGGTAGAGAACAGCAATATATAGGTTATGCATGGAGGCTATATCTTGCTGTCACACATTGGTGCCATTAAGAAACCAACACAGTAACACTGAAGGAAGATTAACATCAGACAGAAGTAGTAATTCCTCTGAAACAAGGAGTCTATCGGAATTTCTGATGTTGAGATCAAAAGATTCTTAGTTTGCAGGAAAAACATTATGGTGCCAGAGCAGTTTCTGCCAGGTAACTGGGTAATGTAAATAAATGATAACAAAGTAGTTATTTCCATGACATTGTCTTAGTTGGAAATTGGAAATTATATAAAAAAAATATGTTACACATGGCACCTTCTTAAGGGGAGAAATTATACCTTCATCATGCTCTCTGTCCTGCCACATTTTCCAAGAAAATTTAAAATATGGTTTAGTGTGCCACAAGAAATCGATGAGAGAGAGGAATCCAAATGTTCGATTATTTGACTTGCTGTTTTCCAGTCCCGTAGCCTGTTGCCAAGCAGTAAAAGTCCCACACTCCCACAAGTTAAATTACCAGGACTAGTAATCTTTTAAAAGAAATATAACAGAAAAATAGAACATCAAACTACTCCTTGCATCAAATATCCATGAAAACAAGATAAAAGCGTGACATGATCTAGATGATAATGGTTATTGGTGCAGAGGCTCTTTTTCTAAAACTGCAAATGCCCAACAAGTAATATAAAAGGATGTCATTGGATAACTGAACAATCATTTGAACAGAGTAAGCAAACAAATAGTTCCAGTGGCCTCAACACATCAGTTTGTTAGTTACACGATTTGTTCTAACACAAAAGAGAGACATATTACCCATGACAATGTTTTATCCTGCTATCTCAACAAATATATGACTTTAGTTCTATTGTTTCTTATTGACGAGTAATTGTATATATTTGGCAAGGTGACACCAAAACAACAAGCAGGTACATGTGAGTATCTCAAATGGTAACACAATAAAATACAAATGGTAATTCAAAAGTTCAGCTGCATAATACTATGTACATAACAGGAGTGAAAGTTACCCACGCCTAAATATGTAGTACAACTAAACATTGTGATGCTGCACGCTGCAGCAAAATGTAGATACATTTAAGAAGTCAACATAATAGTGGAGAGTGAACACTGTTTCAATAATAATCAACCTAGTCACCAATTCAAGAGTGCACATACAACTTAAAACAGTGGATAAACATACATGGTGCATGAAGATATTATCTCAAAATAAGCCTTTTGGTTCAATTGAATCTGTTTTTGCTTCATGAATTCCATCAACTGAAGGACCCTTTCAGGTTGACCTCCCTTATTCAATGCTTCCATGAGGGATGAACAGACAATAGCATCTGGCTGTATGTCATTACATTCCATCTCTTTGAATAGGTCCCATGCTCTCCTCCAGCTCCCTTATGAGTTATGATCCATATGGAACACAGGATTAGTTAATAATTTAAAACTATTGAAATATTTTCTCATCCTAAGAGACTCTTACCATCATCACTATAGGCTTTAATCATTGTTGTATATGTCAAAACATCAGGGAAGCAACCAGATTCTTTCATAGAATTAAAAGCAGATGCTGCTTCAGTTAGTTTTCCCTGAATTACCATTGTTAGAATACTGATTCTGTACAGTGAACCAGAGAGATAATGCCAGCAACACTTGCCTGTTTGACATATGAACAAATCACGGACGAGTAGACTTCCTTGGTCAAATGAATATTCAGGTCCATCATGTCTTCAAAAAATTGCAGAGACTCTACATACCTTCCCAATTTACAAGATCCGCTAATGAGTATATTGTAAGTCACAGCATCTGGCTTCACATTGCCTGCCCTCATTGATGTGTACAACTCCAAAGCTTTCTTATAATCTCCTAAACTTAAATAGCTTCCAATGCCTGAGTTGTAAGCAACTGTATTTAGTTGGATCCCTCGAGACTTAGCTGCTGCAAGAATTATGCCAATTTTAGTTAGCTGCCTGCAGCGGCCACATGCTGTTAACAGAGTACTGATTGAAATAACATCCGGTTGAATGCCATCTTGCTCCATTTCATGCAGCAGACTAATGGCTTCCTTCAACATTCCAGCAGATCCATAAGCATCAATAAGTGCATTGTAACTGACTTTATTTGGCTTGCGTGCATTCTTCCTCATTTCATTAAAGACCTCCCTAGCCTTCTCAGGTTGTGCAGATCTACCATAAGCATTAAGTAAGGAGGTATAGGAAACTATATCAGGTCTCAACCCATTTTGCTTCAGTAATTTAAAAGTCTCCAAGGCCTCTGTGTGCATACCATGTGAGGCATAACCACCCAAAAGTGCATTGTAGGATACAATATTAGGTCTGACACCTTCAGCAACCATCATATCAAAGACCGCCTTGCAATTTTCAGCTTGCCCACAAACAGAATAAGAATACATTATGCTAGTATATGTAACAACATCTGGAGGACATATTGTTCTTCTTTCCCTCATTGAGTTAAACAATTCAATAGCTTCCCCATACAGCCCAACCTTTACAAGGCAATGGATCACAATATTCATGGTGCACGTATCAGGGGCAACTTTAGAGGATTTCATAATTTCAAAATAAGCTATGGCTTTTGAATACTGAGCTCCATTCTTGAAAGCAGACAAGACAATGTTGTGCGTGATCAAATCTGGTCCTACACCATTTTCAGTCATCTTCTTACAAAGTTCTAAAGCTTTCTTCCAGTTACCAGCAGCCCCACACGCATTTATAACATTATTATACGTAGTTCGGCTAGGAGGTATCTGCAACAAAAAGTATCTTTTAAAAGAGTAAACTAAACCACCATAATGTATAATGACTAGGATTTTTTTTCCAATGATGTTTATTTGTTAATGTCACTCCAGGAGCATTCAGGCAATTAGTTTTTTAAGCAGTAATCCAGATCTTCATAGTAATCCTCAATGTCTATTCTGGTTTAGTGATGCCTATTCACTTTCAGCAACAACTCTCAAAATTTCATTAAAAAAATGACTGCTGCATGTATTAGGACCATGGTAGCATTTTTTTTCTAATTAATCTATGGGACATCCTTTCAGTCACTGTTCTACAGCCAGAAAGGGAGGACAGACATATTTGGAGGCTATCTTCTAATGGACAGTATTCAGCCAAGTCGGCATATGAGAGTTTCTTCTTGGGTTCGACCCTCTTTGCTCCATGGGAGAAAATCTGGAAGTCCTGGGCACCACCTAAATGTCGGCTCTTCATATGGCTTGTACGCCGTGGGCTGCCCCGCCCAGAATGCTGTCCACTTTGTGATCAAGATGAAGAAACCATCAACCATCTCCTGGTCGGTTGCGTCTTTGCTAGGGAATTTTGGTTTCTTTGGATAAGACAGGTCGGTCTTCATGCCTTATCCCCACAACCTTCGGAAAACTCCTTTCTTGATTGGTGGGAAAGAACTAGTAGTGCTACTTCTGAGCTGGTGAGGCAAGGTGTTAATTCCCTAATCATTCTTGGAGCCTGGATTATCTAGAATCATCGTAATCGCTGTGTTTTTTATGGGTCGGCTCCAAGTGTTGCTGGGGCTTTAATCTTGGCTGGAGAGGAGCGTCGGCTGTGGACCTCGGCAGGGGCTCGAGGATTATCCCTCCTGTCTGCCCCCCTCCCTGGTGGTTAGTCCCTGGTGCTGATTGGTGCTGTTAGGATCGGCCTCCAGTTGTTTCCTGAGGCGTGTTAGGCTGTGAGTGCATGGTGTTGAGTTTGTGTTGGTGTGTTGGGTGTTTGGTGTAATTGTTGCTGGGTTCTTACACCCTCCTTCTTCTTAATATAATGAGGCGCAGATCTCCTGTGTTTTTCGAGAAAAAAAACATATAAAAAAATTAAACATAACATCAGAATTTGAGAAAACACAAGATTAGTCAGATGTTTTAAAATGGAAAGTAAGCACAACATAAAAAATGAAATCACATGCAAAATGTACCAGCAAGTACATATCTTTGATGTACATGAGATGATTTATGGCATTATAAAACTAAATTTGTAGCAAAGTTACATGCAGCACTATGTATTTTAGTAATTGCCATTAATTCATTATTGGTGTTGGTGCAGGGGTAGTACTACTTGAATTCACTTCCACGGGTATTCACACATGAAAGCATGTGCAGGTGTGCTTCTACCCCTTTTTTTCTCGAATATGCAGGGGAGCTGCATGTCAACGACTCATTTCAATTAAGAAGGTGCTTCTACCTCATTGCCCGGAAAAGAGGAAACAAAAGAAAAGAAATTCTCCCATGAGCATCTATCTACGAAGAATGGAGATTATGAATTTATACTGCAACAATAACTTGTTACATTCATTCACAAGGCTAGCAAGCCTCCACCTTCTAAGCATAGTGAGCAAAAAATTCAATAGTGAGTTCACAGTCTGAAAGCAATCATGAGCAATGATCAAGAAAACTCTCCAAGTTGCTCCATTGCATTAAGAAAATACAAAGCACATCCAGACAAGTATGGAATTATGATGGAATGAATAATATAACTGTGAAGAATACTTACAGCAGCACGGTGCATATCATCCATAATGTTGATGGCCCAACGCCACTGGCCAGCTCGAGCATGAGCATGGATCAAAGAGTTGTATGTATCAGTATCAGGCTTGCACCTATGGATATATTGTTAGTGTAAAGCATACCAAGAGTGAATAGATAATGGAAAGGCTACCATTTCACCAAACTAATGAAAAGACAATACAAGAACAACAGCTGCATGTAAACTATATTTTAAGCAACATATCTGATTGGTGTGATATAATAACAGTAGAAAATAAGGAGCATGGAACAGAAAAGGATATAGCTGGTAAACGAGAGGAGACAGAGGGCTGGGGTCAAGCCCCGACTTCCCTGCGCTTGGTAGAGAGAGAGGTTGGAGGGAGTAGATTAATCTTGCTTGGTGTTTCCAAAATACATCAAGGACTTATATTATATAATAGGCCTGATTACGATCGCCCCATGCACAATCAACTATCTTATCTCTAGACAAACATAATCTCCTAACAACCAATATCTTCTTATAAACTGAATCCTCCTTGAACCAAGAGCCTAACTGAAACTGAACTAACTCTGAAACTTCGCCGATTACCCTGACACAGCTACTGCTGACTGCTTGCACCTGCGTTGGTACTGATTTGCCCCACATTACAGAGTGGTTCATTATACATTGAAGAATATTACTAAATAACATAGTATTCACACAATACACCACAATCGTATGTGGGGCCTACAGCAAGTATCCTATTCTGAATCAGTTCGGTGATTCAGCAGCATAGGATGGATTTTCTCTTCAATAGTGTACAATAAGGAAAGGCAAAACAAATAAACGTCATGAAACTTTGCAAATGACAATCTAATACGATGAATCAGTAGAACTTCTACAGCAAACTTATTATTTGTAGTTAACTTATATGAGTCTGTGAATTCTTGTGACGGTGAAAGAAAAGAATAGGTAATTATTGTTCAAGGTGTTGAAAGTATGACATATGATCCATACCGCCATTCTTGCATCTCAAAGAACAGGCCACGCGCTTGATCAACCTGATTGTGTCTAGCATGTAACCTAATCATCATGCCATAAATGTCATTGCGAGCACAGTAGTTCTCCTGATTTTTCATCCAGCGGAACACATGTACAGCATGTTTCAAGGATCCAGAAATTGTAATTTCCTACAGGTGACAGAAACTGTGTGAGTGCATTATCACTGGAACAGGCTAACTTGTAATCAGTGAAGTTATGGAGATGTTTGGTTTGCTACAAAATAAGAACCATGACTTGCAAGTGCAGAAGCTACTAAGGTGTTCTATAATACAGTCTCTAATAACATGCCCACAAAAAATATGGTGACAAACTGACAATTGACTATTGCGAGAACAACTAGATTTTCTGAACTGATTGAGAAAACCGTAGCTTTAGAGACATATTGATAGTGAACATCAAAGTTGTAAATGTCCATCTGAGAAATCCATAGACAAAACAAAATATCAGCAAAGTTGCCGATGCCACCTGCAAATAGACGCAAGGCTACCGTAAACTGCAGTTTAATCCTTATATAAAGCACCAAAGATAGTTGCTACAGAATACTTGCACTATTAAGGTAAATTGATTATCTGATAGCATGTTAGCAACAAACAAAAGTGGTGATTGTAAATTTGTAATCATTGCATAGCGAAAATGATCATAATCTCAATTGAGAATGAACTTGTTACCATCAATACCAACTAGAACTCAACACTAAGGGCCCGTTTGGATCCTTCGAATTGAATTCATTGGCCCTGTTCGCTTCTCTTATAATCCGTACTTTTTTTTTCAGCCGGAACAGTGTTTTTCTCTCACAACAAATCAGCCGGAACATTGTTTCGGCTTGTTTTTTCAGCGAAGCGAACGGGGCCATTCTAATAATTATAATTTAGGCACAAATTAATTAAGCTAATATGATTGTATATGTAATATATTTGTATATTATTGTTAGCCATACAAGGGAGATACTTCTACGTGGCATTTCAACTATAGGGAAGCAAGTTGAAGACCGTGCTATAAGTTAGAGAGTAGAAACATAGCATGATGATCTAGAGAATCAAATTCCATTTCCCACCCTATGAATTTGAGATAGGCTTATATGTGAACTTGGGAAAGTTGTGGAATGCCAAATTCCAAACCAAAGCTTAATTTATTGAGTAGATTCCAATTCCTCCAAAATGAAAGGATCCAAACGGCCCCTAAGTGAAATAGATGCTGCACTATAAGTTCACCGCGTACTGCTCCTCTCAAGTATTTGCCCATTTGAATGCCACACTACTGGCCAATAGTAGCATCAGCACCAACAGTCATTTCGTCGAACATGTATCGGTATAGCAAGCAGGCGTGCAGACAAAAGGGAGAGAATGGGGCTTTACGCGGATGAGCAACGGGAAATTGCGGCGTGCGAAGCGACCGGCCCAGCAGTTGAGAACGGCGTCGACGGCGTGCGCGTCGTTAGGAGGCAGCGCGAGCACGCGCGCGGCGACCTCGGACACCTTCCAGTCCCGCTGCCACCGGTTGCCCTCCAAGCGGAGGCGGTGCCGCGCAGGGAGCGACGCGGCGCGGACGCCGTCCACCTCGGTGCGGACCCAGCGACGGCCGCGGTCGAGGTCGACAGACACGGCAGGCCGACGCTCCGCCCACGGCGGCGGACCGGGCGCGTGCGGAGGAGGCCGCCGCGCCAGCGCGCGGACGACGCGCGGGGGCGCGTCGGGGTTCAGCGACGGCGGAGGCGGGGGTGCGGAAGTCATCGCCGCGGCGCGGCGGCTTTACCGTTGCGGATGGATGTGTGGGCGAGGCGTTTCCGGACTGCGTCAGTGTTGGGAGCTATCTTTTCATGTGATTTGATAAGTTTAAACCTCAGGCCGGGCTTTTTGATAAGTTTAAATCCAAAGTGATTCATTTGTGATTTGATAAGTTTAAATCCAAAATTATCCCACGAGTTCATTATTCATTTTTCATTTGTCAAGAACCATGAGCCTTTTTGGTAGCCTCCTTCACAAATTCTCTGGAGGCTTTTTTTTCCCTCCTCTACTATTCATAAAAAACGGTTCTAAGGGTTCCTAAAAAAAAAGACTTCGGAACCGAAACCAGAGCCATACCAAACATGTCATATAGTTTGCCTATTGATGAGCGCATGTTCTCTATATGTGACATCTCATGGAAGGTGGTCACCATTAGATTTATATACAATCTCTCTGTTCGCTTATGTTGAAATTTGGCTTATGCTGATATTTATGCTGAAATGTTGTGAGAGAAAACACTGTTCCATTGCTGAAAAGTAGTACTGAATAAGCTCAAGACATTTCTTGGTCTATGACACATTTGAAGTAGGGAAAACAAATTTTTTTTATGCCCAATACAATTATGCGGCTAAGAGTCTGCTTAACTAGCCCTATTAACTCTTACATGTAGATTAATGGACTAACGACTAATTCATAGCTAAGTAGACTAAAATAGTCTGCCTGTTTATCTTTAGGAAATAAAGATTGGTCAACTAGTTGTTAGCTCTATAAATCTAAACAAGACCTAATATCCTTTACATTGTTGCTTAGGGCTTCAAGATTTGGCAACACTACTTTGTGAAACTAGTCAAGTAAATGAACCTTGATATACTTCTTTTTAAGCTTGTAATATATATATTTTTTAATCAAACTACTTTCCGAAGATATAAGGTCAACTTTTCGAGGTTTATATTATTTGGGGACCAAAATAAAAAAGAATCGTATCCTCGTTCTCCTCTCCGGCTCACCGCGCGCCTCCTTCGCCCGCCTCGCGCCGCCGTCCGCGCCCGCAGGACTGGGCCTGCTACCCCTGTACCCAACGAAGTCCTCTTCAACCGTGCTATCGATTCCTATCCCCTCTCCCCCGCGGCGCCATCCGCCCCTCCTCAGCCCGCTCGCCCCCCTCCCCTCGAGCAGCCTCCCTGACCGAGGGTGCTTCCGCCCCTTCCGTTTGAGCGGAACACGACGCCTGGCCGCCGACAATCGAAGCGATTCCTCTCTCGCGGGCGTCCTCGTCGTCTTCGCCTCCTCCGTGCGAGTGGATCGGCGCGGCGAGGGGATCCGTCCGGGGGTTTGGATCGGTTTCTTCTCCATCTCTATCTGGCAAGGACCAAGGAACCCTAATTTGGTTTGGTTGCTTCGACGGATCGTGCGTCCTGTTTCTGGGATCTTTTTATGCTGGGACCTCTGAGGAATCGAATCCAGATCTTTCCTGCTATATTTCGCACAATTTGTTGCGTGTTTCTTTACTGCGTGGATACAAACATAGTAAATTCTTGCGGAGAAATTAAAATTTGGGGTTCAACTGGATCCCCACGGCTTGCTGTGCTCTTGGTTACACATTGTTCTTGCGGTGCTCCATCATCTTACATATAGGATAGGCATGCTCTATGGGTACTGATGTTTACTAGTTCGGTACATAGTCAAAAGTCTGAAAGAATCAGTTTAAGAATTATTCCAAAAGGCGAGAATTTAGTTTATGTTGGGTGGATTGTGTGTAGTTCTCCATGCCTGTTGACATTTCGTGACAGATTGCTTATTAATTCATCCATCCTTCCATGCATTGCTTGACCACAACTGTTCTTTTGTCTCAAACTCGCACTACTAGTATTAGTTATTTCCCAAAATTTGGACGTCTCAAATTAAACCCTGTGCCACATTAAGTCATGCCATGGTGGTAAAATTGTATCTTTCCTGTTCAAACAACGCAACTGTATCTCTGATCTTTATGACACTAGTAAAACTTTGTGTTTTCCCTAGGTTTCTTGTTTAAGAATTATTTCTTAAGAAATACTCAATTACATTTGGTACTTTCATTCTTGACTCATTGATGCACAGTTTTAGAGGAATCTTTTTGGCTGATAAATTATTTTATAGGGATGGATAGCATATATATAGGAGACACTTTGTATTCTATAATTGCTCATTGTGAACTATTTTAGGAATATCTATTTTTTAGTGTTCATGTTATAATTATTTTGGGTGAGATGTACTGGATCCCATGTATGTTTGGATCATTAGTAAAGTCATATTTGTGGTGTTCACATTAGTACATAACCTGATAACCGACCTAGCTTACACCAAAAATTATCCTGTACCGTTCCTTTGCAACTACTGTTGCCATCCATGGTCCAGAACTCCAGATCTATGCATCAACCGTGCCACGCTACTTTTTGGTTAATAAGACTGTTTGAATCCTACACATTTGCACCTTGATTAATGACTGAATGATATCCAATACTTTTGCATGGTGTACAAAATTATTTGGCTTTATGCTATTCTTTTATTGCCCTAGCGGCGTGGTCACATTACCCCTATGCCTGAGCGAAATAGTAGAGATCAAGACATTGTTATCGATTATATGATGGAAATCTAGAAGTTCCTTGTTTTTGCTCTAACAAACATTAAAGGGGGGCAGACCCAGTGCCGGAGGCTCCCACATGAGTGGGGTCTGGGGAAGGGGAAACCGAGGCAAGCCTTCCCCCCGCAAAATCTGCGGAGAGGCTGCTTCGAACCCACGACCTGGTGACTCAATGAGACAGCTCTCACCACTGCACCAGGCCCGCCCTTCTTGCTCTAACATGGAGTAATATGCCAATATTTTTTTATTTACTGCTTTTGATGTTATCTTATTTTTCGAATTACTAAAGATTTCATTTCTGGATTGCCAGCTGTTGCTTGGAGTTAGACAATGGATCTGGAGACAGAGAATCGTCTCGCTTCTTTGCTAATTGAAGAGGCTCGGAGATTGCAGTTAGAGGCTGACAGGGAAGGTGTTCATGCATATCTTCGAAAACCTAATGTTAGGCATCGTCCAAACTCACGGTTCCTCACAGCCACAGTTCGTGGAGTTCAGCAAGGTTAGCATTGTGCAGCTGTATCTTTAGTTTACTGAATCGTTGTTGTCACTCAATTTCAATATTTTCTATGTTTTTGGAGGTCCTGTGGAACAGATCAACATTAGAAAAAACAGTTAAGAGTCATGTAATCCTGTAAAAAAATTGAATTTGGCTCTTGTGAGTACAGTGACCTTCTTTTCTTGGGGAAGAAAAAGTATACTGGCCATCTGGCCCCATGTCACCAATTTTTAATGACATAACTAATCAACGTAGAAAAAAACACTTTAGTCATATAAAAACAAATTGAACTTGGCTCCTGTATTGTATTGACCTTATGTTCTTGGGTAAAAGTATACTGGTCCCATTTCACTATTTTCTTAATGGCATCAGGTAGCATGTTCGTACATTGTTCTGAGTTGAAATATGCTGTTTGTCCTGCAGCAAACCGTGTTGTGGAGGTCAATGAAATGTGGCGTGCCAGGGAAAAGGAACTGGAGTTAGAGTCAAAGATGAAAAGCAGAAGTAGCAGAAGTAACGATCGTGATGATTTTAGAGGCAAGAAGCGCAAAAGTGAATTGAGAAACCATAGCTCCAGCTCAAGGGTCGAACAAGAAGGGACCACTTATAATAATTCTTACTCAGACCAAGAGGATGGTCTCAGGGATGATGAGATTGAAAAATTTCTTCATTCAAGGTCAGTTAGGATATTTATTTATTTTCTTTTATGCGAGAAATATCCATTTATTTCTTGATGTAATACCTGTCATATAATATAACTAAATTATTATTTTTACTCTTCTGTTATATGAAAAATCGTGCAATCTGTGTATCTCTTTGATAATACCACATTATCTATTGATTAGTGCTGGTATCCTATTATGTGGTATATTTAAATTTATTTATGCTGCAAACCTGTCAGACTGTTAACTATTTTCCTTGTGTTACCTATCAGCATTTTGTTGCTGACATGTTTATTGTTGCTGTTCTGTTAGGGCAAAGCGAGGACGTGGGGCTGTTGGTTCTAGGATGGACGAGCCTGGTCCGTACCTTGATTCTTTGTCCTGTCATCAGGACAACGGACCTAGTCCTGACATACGTGTGGAAGAAAAATGGGAACGCCGAGTACAAGGCCCAGAGAAGCCTTCATTTTTGAGATCCAAGTCTCCTGATGGTCATTGGCATAAGGATACTTTGGATGGAAGGGCATCAAGCTCTGAACCACTGAGTAAAAAGGAAAAGAAAAAGAAGTCGGAGAAAAAAGATAAGAGAGAGAAAAAGAAGGACAAGAAGAAATACAAACATCGCCATCGCCGCGATCACAAAAGCCGAAGATGAGAGTGAATGAGTGATGTTGCTGCTAGCAGAACAGAAAAATGTGCACAACGGTTGTGGCCTGAAATGAGCTAGCAGATTGTTGCTGTAATTTGAAACCTGTATTGTATGGAAATCTCGATATCGTGTAGAAACGGACCATGGTTCTTATAATACAGTGTTGTGATGTCACATAGTTTTTTTTTTTTATGTTTTATCACTTTGAAGAAACATGGGTTAACATCTCAAGGTGTTGAGTTTTTTCCCCTTTAGTTGATTGATCATCTGAGCCTGCTTTTCAAGCACGTGAGTTTGTTAGTTGGGGTTTATAGCTGAATAAACCTGCGTAGGCAGATTAGTGCACCTTTTCTATGATCATCATTTGGCTACGGAGTTACTTGTCAGGTTCCATTGAATATAACATAACAGATTAACAATTGGCTCAAAACGACTAATTGATGACTGTGATGAAAGACAATTTATGAGATCTAGCAGTTCCTACCAAAATGGATCTAAAAGCATGGATCATTCTTCGTTTGTTTTTTTAAAGCCCAAGAATTCATATTGTTCATCGACATGAATCAATTACTTAGGCTTTTGGAAGCTTCCATCTTTTCCAATTTCTGAATCGATGTTCTTTCAGAGTTCAGATAGGCGATTTATATGTAATCTCTACTTCAGAAACAGTTCGTGGGAGTGCAGAGCGCATGGTGTAAGGTAGTGCAATGGCTTGCAGAATTGGAGCTAGTGTCGGGATTGGCAAAATATCAGGTGCAAACCAACCAACCTGTGTAAACTTAGAAACTTTCAATTAGGACCACTAGATGCTGATGCAATAGATGGGGTGAGGGGGCTTAAGCACAAAAAAAAAGGCCGCTGGGTGGGGGGCTTAAGCGCAAAAAAATTACATCTCTCACCCCATCCATTGGATCAGTATCTAGTGGTCCTGATTGATAGTTTTCAAGTTTGCACAGATTGGTTGGTTTGCACCTGATACGTTGCCGTCAGGATTTCAGAAAAAGATGCTCACATCAGTAGAAACTGGAGTCCCCAGACCATTTAAAAGAACAGAAAATATTAAATATGCGAATTCAATTTTGAATAATTTTACAGGACAATCTCTTGACGTATGAAAGTACAACACATGTTCTTGTGTGATTGCACAATCACTTGCAAGATGATCACAACTAAAAAATCCTAGAAACAAAAGAAAGTCATCCTCCAGTTCTTAAGGCCGAAGCCATCCAATCTATGTTCTCTGTACAGTACAATGCTGTGTATGAAATATACAGGGACGAAAAATACATTATCTGCAACAAGAGAAAGATCATTAGATAAAGTCGTAAGAAGACTTAAGAAGCAACAAAGGGAAAGAAACATAGTGCCTTCGTGTTGACATTATTGTCATGCAAACACCACAGTGAAATGAAATTGGTCGTGAAAGAATGTTCAAGCTATAATGAAGACATCTTTTATACAACCACTGGACCATGGCAAAAACCATCAAACGCACAACTGCGTTGTATGAAATATAAAGATTGCCTCAGCACATATGCAGTGGCGGAGGACGAAATATATTTGAGGTATGGCATAGCGTAAACTGAATAGTAATGAACAAACAACAATTAATCAAGAGGCAGCAGGGTTCATTCTCGGTGCTCTCGGTTGAATAAAGAATAATTAAATAATAAACAACTGAACGAAAAGAAAATTAAATAGGTTTGTGACTTCGTGTGATCTTAGCATCCTGCAGCTTGCAGGGCTAAGGCGGCAGCACCAGGCCTCCAACAGTGTTCATATGAATGGCTATATTAATTAACTAGACTACAAAGCACCGGGATGGCGTCCAGCAATTTGCAGGGGCATACACGGCGGAGCTGAGGTATGGCGAGGGCCACACCTCGCCCTACTGAGTCCTCCGCCACTGCACATATGTTGAAACTAGTTTATATCCAGGAATAACGGTTTCAGCTACTTCCACTGGAAGTCAGAGAAAGAAGTGTTTATTTTTAGGTCAATTAGGATTCAATTAACACACTGCGGATGTAGAGGTGATACTGTCCCAGTCCTTACACTGAAACCGATACTTATATTTTGAGGGAACAAAATATGGTGTTCTTTAGCCTCGGAAGCTTAGTAGCTAACTAATATTAGCTTTTGTAAATAATTTGGACACTTCATTACCAACGCAAATGAAAACTAGAGGTTAATTCCCATCCATTGGATTTGGCGATAAACAAGAATAACTGACAATACGATGAATAGAGGATTCCCTAACTGTACCATTTTATTTTGTCCTCATGAACCACACCAGATCACGAGTAAAGGAATACCCAAAAATCATGCAAGTAGCATTCCAGTATGATAAATAACACTACAACACTACATGATCACGACATCTATTTCCGTTATTTTTGTTTCTTTGGGGAAGGAAAATCATGATCTCTCGTTCAGCTGAACCTAAAGAGAAATGTAACATTCCACCATTAACATTTCCTCTCCCTTTAAGTACTATATTAGTACTAAATGGTAATCCCAACTAACAAAAACATTTCTAATGTCAGGATAAAAAAACAGAAGAGCTGTGAACAAAAACATGCACATTCCTCAATTGCACAAACTTGCGCAAGAAAAAGGTTTAGAAGAGTCGATAATCTTCTCAATTCAGAGGTAAGGAAGACCTGACCTTACCACTGACCTAAAATGCAGGAACGAATGAGCCATCTAAGCCGATCGAATAACTCAGCCGACAACGAATGGGCCGATCTCGCCACTTCGCATGCCGCGGGCGACCTCGTTGGCGATGACCAGGCAGGTGGACACCCAGCCGGCGAGCACCGCCCACACCATGTCCACGATGCAGGCCGCGAGCCCCCACGGCATCGTCATCCTTGCTCCCTCTCGCCAGCCGCCTCCAAGGAGGCAATTCCACAAACACCGTCCCTGGCTCCCTGCAATCGGCAAGCACCAACGAAACAACCATGGTTGAGCCGAGGAGGGGGTCGATTGAATTCTGAGGATTTGACAAGCTATCACAGGAGAACTCACCTCTTATCTTGCCGCCTTGCCGGTACCGTCAGCACGCAAGAATCGATGCAAATTCCTCCGATTAGCGCCCGTCCTACGGATTCAGCTAGGATCTTACGCACCGGCAATCGGCAAGAAAAATTGCGTCCACAAGAGATTTGGCTGGATTTCACTGCCTCCTCTACCACCCAACCCTTGTTTCCCCCTTTTTACACCTCCTGTTCTGCGGGCTACCAAAGCTATAGGATACGGATAGAGATGATCTTTGCTCTTGCTTTTGCGCCAAGAACCAATCCAACTCCGACACTTACTATTGACCCGAAATTCCACCTCCACCATGGATTCTTTGATCAGAACATTTTTTCCCCACCAGAGAGTTAAATAGAGACGAGGCTTGAAGAGTCTTCTCTCCTTTGTTGCTTGGTTTCCACATCTTCTCCTTTCGCCGGGTAAGCAGTTCACGATTCAAGAAACAACTAGTACGTACTCCTGCCACGGAAGAGCCAATTGGATATTGCCACCTAAGAGCTCACACTCTGTCGGACTCTGACTGCACTACTGCAGATGGTGAAACTTTATCCAATCATTCGTGGATTGGGTTGCAGGGTTAGTTAGGACTCAGGAGCATTTGGATTTAGGACAGGTCCTGCGCGTTTTTTGTCCAGTTGTGCACAACACAAGCGTTGCTGACTGGTTTGGCTTCTAATGGTCTGGTCGTCTAACACCTGTCACATGCTGGCCTACGCAAATCCACCATTGGCTGCCTGAGCTGATGATTGATGAAGGAGCCAAGTGTTGCAAATTTTTTTAGCTCCAAAGCCTGGGCTTGGGACGAAACAGAGGAGAAACAAAAGCAGCTTGGTCTCAGAACACACAAACAGAAGACTAATAGCTCACTGATAGTCTGATAGTAACGTGTTTTCATATATTTTGTAGACTCCATGACCGGTATCATGTTTCTTGCTTCTGTATGCGGGCAGTGATATGAGTTATACTCAAAAGGAACTATTGTGCTGATTGTCGTACTTATCAAACAAGATGATTTGAACATGTAGCCAGAAGTTTCCAGGGCCATGTCGTGATCTTGCTCTGGTGCATCATGTCACCCACACTGCATTCTTCGACTTTATTGCTTTTTATTGTGCCCTGCAATTGGCAAGCATCAACCAAACAACCATTGGAGCCTCCCACTGGCCTAAGTACTCAACACATGAGATGCGGTGCTCCAGCTTGTCACCTTAACGATATTAGCGGTATTAGCTTTTGTGAATAATTTGGACAATTCATTACACTCCGCCACTTTATTGGCCTTTGCTCTACTTCAGCTGAACCTAAAGAGAACGGTAACATTCCACCATTAACATTCCCTTTCCCTTTTTAAGTACTACTATACTAGTACTAAATGATAATCCCAACTAACAAAAACATTTGTAATGTCAGGATAAAAAACAGAAGAGCCGTGAACAAACATGCAGATTCCTCCATAGCACAAACTTCTGCAAGAAAAATGTTAAAACATAGTCTAAATGATCTGCAAGTTTGCTAATCTTCAGTCAACTTGGACGGCTTGGTTGCCGAGATTTTGGCAGCCAACTATTTTAAAGGGCACAAAACTTCAATGACCAAATGAGCTCTTTATATATCTTTGTATAAGGGTTGTCATCAATTACCAAAAAAGGGAGAGATTGAAAGCTCTAATTTGATTTTGGTGAATTGATGAAACCCTAAGTGCTAACCTAGTTTATCAAGTGATCATGAGATAGGTAGCACACTCCAAGTGGTGAAGCAAATGAAGATCATAGCATGATAAAGATGATGGCATGGTGATGATCAAGTGCTTCGACTTGGAAAGAAGAAAGAGAAAAACAAAAAGCTCAAGGCAAAGATATAATTTATAAGAGCTATTTTATTTTGGTGATCAAGACACTTAGAGAGTGTGATCACATTTAGTATTGATAGCCGTACTATTAAGATGGGTGAAACTTGTATCGGAATGCGGTTATCAAAGTGCCACTAGATGCTCTAACTCATTGCATATGCATTTAGGATCTAATGGAAAACTAACACCCTTGAAAATGTTTATGAAAATATGCTGACACATGTGCACAAGGTGATACACTTGGTGGTTGGCACATTTGAACAAGGGTGAAGAAGTTAGAGGTGAAATAGAGTTGGTCGCAATGATGCTGACGTTGGTTTTCTGACCGGACGCTGGGTCACTCAGCGACCGGACGCTGAAAGGCTGCGTCCGGTCGAGCTGTCAGACGGCACAGTGATTAGGGTTTAGCACCGGACGCTGGGCTGTGTCCGATCAAGCGTGACCGGACGCGCCCGGTCGGCAAAAATAGGATTTGGACCTTTACTGGAAACGACCGGACACTGAGGGTCCAGCGTCCGGTCAACAGTGTCGGAGCGTCCGGTCAACATTTCGACCATTGAGATCAAACGATCACAGTTGAACGCAGGAGACACGTGGCCGCCATCGGGCGACCCGACGCTGAAGAGCAGCGTCCGGTCAGTAGGACCGGAGCGTCCGGTCAGCCCGATCAAAACCCAGTGAAGGGGTATAACGGCTCTATTTCGTGGAGGGCTTCTATTTAAGCCCCATGGCCGGCTCAAGCTCACTCTCTTGGCCATTTTCATTGACATAGCAACCTTGTGAGCTTAGCCAAAGCCCTCCCAGTCATCTCCATCATTGATTCATCATCATAGTGAGATTGGGAGTGATCCAAGTGCATTGCTTGAGTGATTGCATCTAGAGGCACTTGGTGTTCGTGTTTCGCTGTGAGATTCGCTTGTTACTCTTGGTGGTTGCCGCCACCTAGATGGCTTGAAGCAGCGAGGATCGTCGAGCGGAGGGTGGTGATTGTCTCCGGCTCCGATCGTGGTGATTGTGAGGGGTTCTTGACCTTTTCCCGGCGGAGCGCCAAAAGGTACTCTAGTGGATTGCTCGTGGCTTGTGTGATCCTCATCTTGTGTTGGTTGTGCGGCACCCTATTGAGGGTTTGGCGTGTGAAGCCAATTAGCGCGTGAACCTCCAAGTGAGTGAATCGCCACAACGAGGACTAGCTTGCCGGCAAGCAAGTGAACCTCGGTAAAAAATCATTGTGTTCATCATTGATTCCGAGGTAATTGGTCTTCATTGTTATCCACACTTGTGATTGATTGGTTCATACATCTACACGGCGGTATAACCTTCTTGCCTACTCTTTACATTACCGTAAACTAGTTGTCAAGCTCTTTAGTGTAACTAGTTGTGAGAGCTTGTTAGTTTGGTTAGTGTGACTCTTTAGTTACCTTTTGAGAGCACACTAACTTAGTGTAGTGATATAGCTATTGTGTGGATATACTTCATCTAAACTAGAATTGTGGTAGGTGGCTTGCATTTTGGTAGGCTAGAGCAAAACTCGCTTCGCCTCATAATTGTCTAATCCTTTTGTTAAGTGTTGTTGTAGAAATTTTATTAGGCTATTCACCCCCCCTCTAACCATTAGGACCTTTCAAGTGGTATCGGAGCTGAGATCACCGTGATTTGAGGCTTAACAACCTTCGGTGTAAAAATGGCTCAAATCAACAACACAAAGAAGCCACCCCAATTTGATGGCACAAATTATCCTTATTGGAAGTCAAAGATGACCACACATATCAAGTCAATCAATAGAAATGTGTGGAAGGTGGTTGTAACGTCCCGCCTCTCCGAGGCCGGGCCCGCTTACATCTGGCCGCTTCTCTAGGATATAGACTGCCCTCACAGACCAACACAGGTCTTTTCTGCGCACTTTGTCCTCACTCGTGCGCACCCGGGAAGAACTTCCCAGTCGGTCACCCATCGCTCCAGGCCAAGCACGCTTAACCTCGGAGTTATTTGCATATGGGCTTCCAGAAAAGAAGTTGCAACTTATTGGTATGAGTATCCTATTAATCCTGTTAAGCCCTGGGCCAGGATGTTACAGTGGTAGAAACAAAAATTGAGATTGAAGATCCGGAGAATCCCACCGCGGCCGAAGAAGTGCTTCTCCAAAACAATGACATTGCTCTAAGTGCCATTCATGATGCAATTGATGAAAGAACATTTGAGCAAATCAAGAATATTGAAATGGCTCATGAGGCTTGGAAGAAGTTGGAAGAATCATTTGAGGGCACTCAAGCCGTGAAGGGTGCAAAGGCATACATTCTCAAAGAGAAGTTTGCAAGCTTTAAGATGAAGGAGGATGAGAGTATGCCGGAGATGTTCCATAGGCTTCAAGTGCTTGTCAATGATCTTAAAGCACTTGGAGAAGAGGTGAAGGACAATGACTTCTCCCACAAGTTCTTGAGATGTTTGCCTTCAAGATTTGGAACATTGGTCACTATTCTAGTGAGTAGTGGTTTGGACACCATGACACCAAACTAAGTGTTGGGAGACATAATGACCGATGATACATATAGAGATGATGATGAGAAGGAAGAAAAGAGGGAGAAGAAAGATGGAAAGGATGACAAGAAGAAGAGCGTGGCATTCAAGGCCACATCATCCAAGGGCAAAGCCAAGCAAGAAACATCAAGTGAAGAGTATGATTCATGGGATGATGATGATGATGAAAAGATGGCTCTCTTTGTCAAGAGATTTGGCAAGTTCATGGTGAAGAAGGGCTATCGTGCTAGAAGAAAGAAGTCTTCATCCAAGAACAAGGAAGAGTCAAGAAGATGCTTCAAGTGTGGAAGCAAAGATCATCTTATTGCTCAATGTCCATACAATAGTGACAATGATGATGACAACAAGAAGAACAAGAAGAAGGACAAGAAGAAAAAGAAAGAGAAGAAGGACAAGATGGCCTTCAAGAAGAAGAAGGGTGGTTCATATGTGGTCACTTGGGATAGTGATGCTTCCTCAAGTGATGATGATGATGATAGTGATGATCACAAGACCACCAAAAAGAAGGTCCTAGCAAGCATTGCCATCAATGAAAAGCCTTCTCTCTTCGACTCTTCATCATCCCTCATGGCTAAGGCCACTAAGGTACAAATTTGTGATGATGAAAGTGATGAAGAACATGATGATGATAATGAAAATAAAAAAGAAAATGATAGTGATAGTGATAGTGATGATGATGAACCTACTAAGGATAAATTAATTAACATGCTAAAAGATGCTAGAGAACACTTTGACATCAAGAGAAGGGAATGCAAAAACTTACGTAAGGAATTAAAAGCCCTTAAGCAAGCCTTTGATGAGCTCAATGCATCTCATGAGAGGCTAGAGGACGTCAATGAGAAATTTGGCAAAGCTCACAAAAAGCTTGAAAAGGCTCATTCCTCTTTGCTTGATGAGCAAAATAAAAGGAAGCATGTTGATACTT